GCTCAGCCTCAAGTCCAGCACCGAGGCTCTCCCAGAGCTGCCTCCCCCATAGAGAAGCTGTGTCCCAGCTCTCCACACCTGCATTCTCCAGGCATTTGAGTCAGTGACCAGTGACTGCTGTCATATCAGCCTCCCTGGGTGCTGACCCCCCAGATCCTCTGACCCTTGCTATTCTGGTTCATGCTTACACACCCAGTCTTCTCACACCAAGCTCATGTGACTCCCTGTCTTAGGGGCTCCTGTGATCTTAGGAATGTAATTGGTCCACAAAATGGGCAGGTGGGGAGTGATGGGGTGTTCATGAGGTGAGCAGCCTTCAGCCATGGTAGACAAGACCCGGTGCATAAGTACCCCAGCTCTCTCTCTCCTCCATTGGGATAACTCTGAGGCTCTGTGCAGACCATTGGGATAATGGTCTGCACAGTCCCCTGTAGGTCTGAGCCTCAGATGCCCATGAAGGAAGCCACTCATCAGTGTGCCCTGAATCGGTCTCCTTCCTTCCCTGTCTCACGTTCCTGCTCCCCTATATAAAGACACTTCCTTTCAAATAAGCAACCTCAACTCCTTGTCTGAGAGTCAGCTTCTGGGAGGACCCAGTCTAAGAAACCTGGTGGCATCTGCCCAGTACCGCCCCTCCTTCCCCCACCCCATTCCTCAGGTGGCAGCCCTGATGTATTGAGCTGCTCCTCCCACACTGGGTACAGCCCTGATTAGACTGTCAAGAAACCCCGCCTTTCTCTGGCTGTGGGGTGAACAACTGTCCCAGATGAGACCTGTCATTGGAATTGGAAATCTGAAACCAGGGAAACCAAGACAGAAAGTGCTGGAGCTGGCCCCGCGATAGGGGAGTTCTGACGTCATCACTGGTTTCTGCTGTGTATCCCTGTCCCCACTCTTGCTCCAGTCTCTGTCCCTTTTCTAAGCAGTTTAGCCTGTTTCTTCAGGTTTTCCTTCAGTTCTGAGAGCTACTCCACGTGCTTTGGACATGCTGCTTGTTTGTTTTCATTAGTTGGCATTGCTTTCTGTTGCTTGCGACCACAGAGACCCCAAAGGTAATGCTAATGAATGAAGTTCAATATCAACAGAGAACTTAAGGAGGTTTGAAGTAAGTTGGGTTACCCCAAGCAGACCCTAAACAAGGTCTTGGGTGCAGGTTAATTAGAGCGGTGATCACAGCAACTCAAGGTGCCCTTAGTAAGCACCCATCTCTCAGCTCCAAGCCTACCTTTCTGGTTCTGGGGCTGGAACATGCTACCTCATTTCTGCTTTGCCAGTGTCTCCCTGGTAGGGGAAGAATGAAAA